TTCCTCCCTTATGGGCAGTCTTGGTCAAAAGGCTGCTCCAGTGAATCTGGGTACTAATTTAACAGGTTTATTGATTAAATACTAACTGCAGGATGAGATCCTGACCTGTTTTGTGCAATTGAGTAGGTAGCATGTTAGTAGCAATGCTGGGCTAGCCATTATCTGATTGTGAGTTAAGTGGCACTGATGGTGCTGGGAGAAATACAATAAACTTACCTGGAAACCTTCACCCTCTTTACTGTGATTGTCAAATCACTTTGAGAGCAATTGAAATTATTACAAATACCCCTTCGGTTCCTCCCAGATCTAATACAGCATAATCTTGTTCACCTCAGATAATCAAGTCAAGTCATTAGCTCACTGATAATTCACCTCGTGCCAAGTGCTGGGACTTTGCAAGGAGCAGCCAAAGGCTGAGCATCTCCTGGGCAGCCGCTGCCCGCTGCGCACGTCCCCACAGGCAGCCACCACTGTGCTGCCTCTTGCACGATGAAAGAAAAAGACAACTACATTGCTGTAAATGACCTAATGCTTTTAAAAATTCGCCATGGCAGGAACAGGATTATCTCAGAAATATTTTAATTAAATGAGCTCAAAATTACACCAGGTGCTCTACACAAATAACTGGCCAAACGCATCAATTTTCACACCAGTCTGACTCTGCATGTGGTTTGCAGAGGATGCAAAATCTTGCTTTAAACAAGCTTGTTGAAATTCAGCAATTTTGCCAATTTGCTAAAATAGAGCTCAGCTATGCAAAGCTGCAGAAGTCCCACAAAATCAGATGTACCTGACAGAGTAGGAGGTGTAGAGGAGCTAGATTTTAAAGTGCTTGAAACGCTCCTTGTTTTCAGCCTGCAAAACTCAGCTGGACACTTCCCAGAAACAGGCTTGCAGAAGACTTCCACAGAAACTGGTTTTAAGAAGTGCCTATATAAGAATTCATCCCTTCTGGCACCAAAGAAAACTTGGATTAAAGCCACACTCAGCAATCCAAGTAGAAAAAAAGGATGACTCCAAACTCTCTTGAACAACTGCACCAAACCACAGACAGGTAGCACTGGCTGCACTGCACACATGCCAGGAGCACAGAGAGGAAAGTATTTGTATATATTTACATCATGAAAACATAAAAAACTATAGAGTTATCATTGTCATTTAGAGTCCCGAGTGCTCAGCCATTCTGAAAAAAAGAAAAAAGAAAAGAAAGGATGTCTTGCAGCTAGCTCAGGCACTTTAAACTTAAATCTTCAACAACTCATAGTCCTTATGGTTGGGAAGATGCATCAGTTGAGCTCTTCCTCTCTGTAACACCCAGTTTGGTAGCTGATGGAGGTACGACCTGTCCCAGACCATTCTCATGAGCTCCCCTCTGAGTTTCTCAAGCTTTGCCCATTACCGGTGCAGAGCAGAAGAGCACTGTGGCCTCTGGGCTGCTGTTTCCCAGGACAGCCTGTGCAAGGAAGGTCCCCTGGGCTCCTCAGAAGGACAGGCTGGTTGCAGCTTTAATGAACATTTAATTACTGTTGAGCTTGGGACCTTTTGAGGTTCAGGTGACCAAGGGTAAATATCTGGATTTACAGATTGGTTTCTCACACCTTGCATCCAGAGGAGCCAAGGAGCACTTTGAAGGCAAACCCAACTCAGCAATTTAGGGCGTGAAGCAACATGGACAGGGTCACCCTGTTTTGGGATGAGGAGGAGAAAGAGTTCAGTTGTACAAACAGAAGCCAAACTGCTTGCCAGGAAAACAAGCCCTGGCTTGTGGTATTTATCAGTACTGACGTGGCCATCGGTGCCATGCAGGAGACCCATGGGACGCAGGCTCTGGAGGAAAGCTGCAGGTAACATTCATGAAATTGCTGTCCAAGTGCATCCTTGGCATAGCCAATGTCCTGTTCCAGCAACTCCTTTCAGGGTCAGGGATATGCACCAAAGCACAGGGCAAGACAGGGCTGTGTCCCCAGCAAGCCCAGCTAGCACAGGCAGGAAAAGCAGGAGGGCAGAGGCAGCCAGCTGAGCACCTCCCCTTCCCTCCTCACCCCAAGCTGCAAGAATCCCAGGAATTCTCCAACATCCTCCTGCTTCTGGACAGAAACCTTCCCTCTGGCCAGCACCTTGAGGATGGCCATGCCACTGCCAGCCTGTCAGCAGGGCAGGGATAGGGATGGCATCCCTGCCCTGCAACACCAGCTCCCTGTATAAAGTCTCTCTCAATCCAGATCCACACAAGGGAACAAATTTGGGGTTAATATATACATCTTGCTCTGGTGGAGCTGTTCTGCCCACAGTCCCTTGCTCTGCTTCACTCTGGGGACAGCAGCAGCAGGGCAGCAGAGCCCGGTCTGAGCAGGAATCCCAGCAATGCCAGCTATGCCGTGTCCTCCTCAAAGGGTCAGGGCTCCATCTAAACAGGAAGCCAGAGGAGAGGGGAGGCAGGGTGGCAGGAGGAGTTGCAGTCGCTTCTGGCCCCATCCCTCCCCACTCCCAGCCCAGCACAGGCAGCTCCGGGGGGGCTTCCAGGGTGCTCTTCCTCCTGAGGACCCCCGTTGTCAGGCAGGGTGCTTCCTCACTTCTTTGCAGGATGATTTTTTGAATCATTATTAAGCAGAGCCCAAGCCCAGTGAAGGCAGCACTGAGAAAGGGGAGCCACAGTGGTGGGGAGGATGGTGAGGGTCCCCATCCTTCACCAGCAGTGAGCAACTCAGAACATGCCAGGACACCCCATTTTCTTCCCAAACCAGGGATTGCATTAAAAACCATACAAACCTGCAGGTCAGCAGCTGCTTCACACACCACAGGCAGAACCTCTGCAGCCTGCACTTGATCTCCCATTGCTCGCTTTCTGTACCTAAATAAGCTTTTTTTCCCTCTGGTTTCCCCATGTCAATATTTTGGGATTACTTTATTCCACAAAGAACACAACTACCCTTCTGCTTTAAGAAGGACAAGCGTTCCTTGACCTCCAGCCAAAGTGAAACCAGCCTCTGACGCCCAGCCTGGCCAGCAAACACCCTTGCAACGCCGCGATAATGTCCTGCTGCTGGGTGCAAGGCCAGCACAAACCACGGGAACCAGGGAAGGGCTATACCGGTAAACTCCCATCAAACCAACCATCCTGGCATCCTCTTCACAGACAGCACCCTGTGACACATAAACAGACATTAAACGTCTCCCGGGCAGATCTGATTGGTGAACTCATGGCCTTTCAATGGCTTGCATCTCTCCTGGCTTACACTAGACCAAGGAAGCCTGAGCACACGTTTCAAGCACACCATTCACCATGAGAAATCATTACTTTACCCCAATTTGTGCCATTTCCCTGCCATTCAGAGCTTCATCTATGAATTTTCTAGACTATGCTTAAGTTCATTTGTATTGGCCAATAAGGATGTTTTAGTGGTGTGGGGTTTTTTCCCCCTAGGGTTTATTTAAGCCCTCAAAGTTGTGCCAGTCCTCCCATACTGATGTGGAGTTAAGTGATTTTGAGGCTGAAGCTGCATTCTTTCAAAAGTCTTATCTTGAAAGGCAGCAGAGGAAACATCTGTTTATGAGAGCTCTTGAGGGCGTCACAGTTGTTCTCTCCCAAACCTTGTTTGGAACCAAGGTGAGTAAAACTAATGCCACAAAGGACTTCCCAGCTTGTGCACTGGCCACAACGTTCACCACCACCGAGGGGACAGGGCAGCGGGTAGGAAAGCTGCTGAAAAAGTTCACAAACTATTTACGTGCTGAAAGTTTGAAACTAAGAGCCCTGCAATCTGTGTCCTTGGGATATGATGCTCCTCTCCCCCTCTGGCAATGAGAAAAGAGAAAATGGGATTATAGCCAGAGTCAGCAGGAGGGGTTGAGAGAGGAGCAGGGGGACAGCTGAGCCCTGGCAGGGACTCAGCCACACCACCAGGTCCAGTGCTCACGGGACCCCATGAGGCCACCAGCTCATCCATTACTCAATGTCCTGTGAGCATACTCAGCTCCTTCCATTTAAGAGTGTTATTTCCAGGAGAAAGCCACCCCCGGAAGACAAGGCAGACCCCTCACCGTGACCTGTGGAACAGATCAGACTACCTGTGCCTGTGGTCACGTACATCGGACCAAAGCCCAACCACCACTGCCCAAAGGGCTGTCTCATGCATGGAAGAGCAGTCAAGCTCCTGCTGTTTTAAGCCTGGGGAGAGCGAGCTTGTCAGGTGTGTGGTTTGCTGCCCTCCGAGCCCTTGAACACCTTCCAGCTGTGCAGGCGAGAGGCCAGGGTGCAGAGGAAAAGGTCCTCTCCTGGCTATCAGCCAAGCATTATAAGGCAAGAGCGTCCTGTATCCTGCCTATAAGTATTTTGGGAAGCCAGATGACTTCATTACCAGCTGACATCCCCTGACCTACTCACTGTTAAACAAGCTCGCTGCCGGCCGGCCACGGAGCTTGTTACTCAGCACTTTAATTTGCACATTGCCATTTACCAGGCACTAACCTGCCGGCACATCCAGGCAGTGCCCACATTTTCATGCACCTGAAACACTTATGCAAGCAGCAAAACACAAATGTACCTCTTCCACAAGCACTCTGCAGATACCTTTGAATCGGGACTGACACATGAGGAAATCCTCTGAATTGCAGATGTGCTGTGGTTTCCACCCAGTGCCATCAGCCCCATGTCTACCTCCCATCCCACCATCACCTCCGCAGCACCGTGAGCACAGAGAGGGCTCTGCTGCTGCTTGGGCTGCAGCTACCCCAGCCATGGCACGCAGGATGCCCAGGTACCACGGGGGACACCCAGCGCTGGGGATGCTCCAAATGTGATGGTGGGGCACCAAGTCACAAGCTTGCAGCCACCAAGCTTGCATTACACAATCTTCATGGAGAGAGTGACAGTGAAAAATAGAGTTATGAATAACCTGAAGTACAGGACTTAGGTGAGAGAAGGCTGTAAGTGGAGATGGAGGAGCAGTGTCCCCACCACCCCAACACATAAGGGGAAGGAGCATCCTCTCCGCACTCACCCTGATCCGCCGCATGGCCGTCACGATCTCCACCCGGCTGTTTGGCCGTGGCACATCCAGGCTCCCAATGTACTAGAGTGAAAGAAAGAGCCAATTAGTCAAGTTTTCACAGCGCTGGAAACCTCACGGTCCCACCATGGTCTCAATGGCATCCCCGGATGGAACCCAGGATCCCTCCTGGGGAACAGGCAGCGTTTTGCCCACAGTACCTGAAGCCTTTCATGCCTCCCACCATGAAGCTGTTCCCTCACCACAATGTTCCAAGGATTCAGCAGCCCTTATTCTAACAATAACATCACTTCAGTAATCAGAGCAATCAGGCCAGCAGGACTCACTCATCTACGCCCTGATCAAAGTACCTAGGTATAAGCCAATATCCCTTCAGCTGCACTGAGTCATCTATTATAGACTTGGATATTGAAATATCCCTAAAATAGCTGGGGCAACCTGTCCTGTGACAGGCCCTTCACTACTTAATTACAGCCCTGCCAAACCCTGGGCTGTTCTTGCAGAGATGCTGAGCCTCCAGGCCAAGCCTCCAGAATAAAGGAGCCGCTTTGCTATTCAAAGGGGACCAAAGGCAGCACCGCTGCGACCCAGCACGGAGAGATGCCGAACAAAAACCTTTTTAAAAATAAAATGGAAAAGGGCAGATCGAGAAGAAGGATCAGAAAACAGATGACCAATGAAGAGTCAATGCAGAGCGTTAAAAACGTGTAGTTAGAAGAAAAGCATTTTGAGTCTATTTACTAGCCCCCCGTGCTCCCACGCTTCATCTCGACACAAGCGCTGACGTAACCCTCAGCAGCACAGCACAGGCAATAAACCTGGCAGGGCTGTATGTGCCTGTGAATACAGCTGTAACCTTTGCTGACACTGTGAAAACCCAGGTCACTGGTTTCGAGCAGTGGCATTGAGACGGGTGCTTAAACGGCCAAACATGTGCTAGGGGTCATCGTACAGGCAGAGGGGTTATTCCTCACCCAGCATCGCTGCGGAACCCCCAGCTCCTCTCCGCTGGGACACTGCTGCCATCTCTATCAAGGGCACAGCATGGGGCTGCATGACCACCCCTGGGTTTTGTGTGTGCCTGCTGTTCCAGAGAGCCCTCCTTGCTGACCCTCTGCCCACACCTCAAACTCAACGAGCCCCCGGCATGGCCCCTGCCCTGGGTGCAGACAGAGGCAAGCATCCAACCACCAGCACTGGGCAGTGAGTGCTGAGAGTGGATGTGAAGAGAAAGGATATAAAAATAAACACAAAACAGCTGGCGTGTTCATCCCGTGCTGAGCAGGCTGCCACGGTGCAGGGCAGCTTTATGTAACTGGGAATTAAAGCCCACAGCGCACGCCGCTGGCAAAGGCAGCATTAACTGCCCAGACCCAACTGCTCAGCACCCGACTGCAAAAGCACAGGTCTTGAGAAGCTTTCAGTTGTATCTCCTAAATGCAGCCTTCCAACCCCTTCAAAGGTTCAGTTTCTTTTTAAGAGAGGTGTCTTTGACACAAATTGATTCCCTTTGTTTATATAAAGTCTGGTAACCATCAATAAAAAGTAGGAGATGAGGAGGAGGGCTAAGGCAGTCAGAGCCCTGGACACACAGTCACCATGCAGCACGTCAGGGAGAAACCTTTCCCTGTTCCCCTGCCAGGGGAACATCTCAGCTGCACAGCACCTCTCCCTCAGAGCATCCCACACTGCTCTTCTGCTGGGCACCACCCAGTACTGCTTCCCACTCACCTGCTAGGGAGACTTCTTTGCTGGAATTATAGGGAGGACAGAGTTTTGCTAGCAAAGGGGACAGCCAGATGATGCCTATCTTCTTCCAGCTATTCCCAACAGCACGAGGTCACTGACACTGGAGAGGTAATCGCTTTCCTTCTCCTTGTGTTTTCCTTTCTTCACATGCAAGGACAGGGCAAGTGGTGGCAGCTATCAGCCAGGCAGGAGACAGCCCCATCCACTGCTGGGTCCCACAGCCACATGAATTTGAGCAATGCCAACCTCCTGGCTGATGACCATAACCTCAGCCAGCAGCAACACTCAGTCATGCCCAAAATTGCATGTGCTGTCAGGGCTGGGCCACCTTGTAAGCAAGTGATGGAGCAGAAATCAAACACCACCTTGGACCTCCTTGGATGGCCCTCCTGGAAAAAAGCACTAGCAGTAGGATGCCATCCTATCTATGCCCCTTCATTCAGCTATTCCACTCCAGCTTGTGCTTGCAAGCACCTGAACCAAGGGGCTCATGTCACAAACCATACAGGATTCACCTTTGCTCCCAAACTTGGGCTCCAGGGCATCCTGCTGCATCCCGCATCCCATGGGAGTGTGCCCCTACGAGATGGCACCTCCAGCCCCAGCGTGGGCTCCCTTCACACAATTTCTGTGCTCACAGCTCCAAAAACACCCACCTCTCTCTCCGCTCTGGAGGCAGGGATTTTTTGCACGTTTTGCAAAACTCAACAGATGGACAAAGTCTCCCCGAATTATTTTTGCCTTCAGGGCAGAAATCACACGACGGAACTGCACTGCAGAGGAGTAACCCTTCCCAATGTGATGAGTATCCTCCAAAAATGTGGACTTGGAGGTTGGCCTTTCAGCTAAATTATTTCCCCGGCAAGGAGTGGGGATGGCCTGAGAAACCATCCGTGTTTACCAAGGGCCACTCCTGCTCTGCTCTCCTCCAGCCCTCCTACTCACAGCACCAACTTTAATTTTGGGAAGAGGTGTGGGAAACATCAGGCGAGGCAGAGGTGAGGCTCAGAAAAGCAGCAGGAGCCTCTGGGGTGCAGGACTCACCCCTCATCCCACCCCAATGCTGAGACCCAACTCCTCTATCCCAGGGCAGGAGCCCCAGGGACCCCCGGGCATGGGGGCTCCCAGATCCCAGGCATGGCCTTTTGTCTTCCTTTAAAACCCATGTGCTAGTGAGGTGCCAGGCTCGGTGGTGGTCCTGGTCTCTGCAGGGGTCGATGTCCCAGCTCCCAGGGCTCGGACCAGCACCCGTGCCAGCAGGTCGACCCCGTGGGAAAGGGAGGCAGCAGGGCTGGGGCTGAGCCCGGGGAGGAGAAAGGAAGGCGCCTGAGACAAAAGGAAGGAAAATAAAGCTGTGTGAAAGAGAGCTGACAAAGAAAATAAACCCATGAAAGAACCCACCCTCCCCAAGCCCCCAGGAACTGAGGAGGAAACCATATGTACATATGCTGGATGCAGCTTTTCCAAATAATCACCTCCAGATCCCTGACCCCACCACCTTGGCAGGGGATGGGGGACAGAGGTGAAGCCCCCAGCCAGCACCCAAGAGCCAGGTGGGATTAGGGGGTCACCAATCCCCGTGCTCTGAAGGTGGGGGGGCATGTCCCAGGTATCCCCCTCCTCCCTGGCCCAATTAGGAGAAGAAAGGCCACCCGCTTGGAACGCCAGTAAATGGGCAGCCGAGGGGGTCCCTTCTGCAACGAGGCGCTCTGGCAGCCCCACAAAGGCAGCCCTCACACTGAGGGTGGCCAAAGCTGCTCACTCGGGGCTGCCTTGCCCGCGGCATAGGCAGGCACAAAGCACCTATTCTGCAGGGTGCTTTTGGTCCCTCACGCACCCCACGGCTCCTCATCCCTGTGTGTGGCATCCAGCCTTCCATCACTCCTTCCAGGGCCCCTAGAAAGGGCATCCCTGCTCCCTGCCATGGCACAGGCTTGGTGGTTGTCACCCATCGGACTTCTCAGCACCCAAAGGGAGCTTGCTGGCTGTCCCCATCCCATGCAAACAGGCTCTCCTGTCTGTCCCAGGCATGGCTGGAAGGGGACTCCAAATGCAGCCCACACCATGCACCCTCACCCACAGCTTACAAAGGACCTGCCCAGTTCAGGGAAATGCCAGCCCTCCCCTGGCCAGAGGGAAAAAAATAACCAAGAAAACAAAGGACAGCATTTTGCCAAAGCAATGTTTGCACAAGTCACTTAGTTTCTCATTTTTCCCTGAGGTTGTTTAATATCGCTCATTTTCCACACTGTCAGAAATGAAATTTCTTGAGAAAGTGCTTTTTCTGTATCAGCAGGTGGTAGATATTTTTGGTAAACCAAGGGTCGATCTCATCCCTAACAGGGGACATCTTTCAAGGGGTGTTGATGAGATCCCTTGCAGGTGGTGGGCAGCAAAAGCCTTCCCGAAGAGGAGCTGCTGCCTTCCCAAGGTGGGCACGCTGCTGCTCTGCCAGCCTGATACCACGCACAAAGGTCGGGGCTGAATCACTCCCTACTTACAGGGGAGCCTAGACTGGCCAGCTGCCGGCCTTCCAGCTTCAAAAGCCACCCTGAGTCAGGGAGCTTGTCACAGACGAGGAGCCACTGCTTCTGCAGAGGAGCTGCAGGCAGGCAGCAGGGCAGTGCAGGCAGAGGAGATGTGCTGGGACATTGCACCGCAGGTGACAGCCATCCTAGGGGCCAGGAGAGCCTTGTTCAAACAGGGCATCCTGCACCCGGGCTGCAGAGGGGTTACTGGACGTACCAGCAGTCAGATAGGAGGCATCAGATATGGGGTATGAGGGTCCCAAGACTTCTGAAGAGTCCAGGGCAGCATGAGGCTGCACGAGGTACGCGGACATTGACCTCGTGACACATGGCTGTGCCACGAAGCAAAGACCAAAGTGCTCGGGCACCAGTCCCCAGCCAGGCGCCCAGAGATCTGAAACCTCTGTATTTCCCCAGTGCCCAGGGAAACACCCAGCCTGGCTGATAAGGGCTTCTCCCTGGGCTGCTGCCATCAGGGAAAACAAGATGAAATACAATTCCCGAGACTTTTGCTGTCCCGGAGCTCCTGCCCTCCAGTTGCCCACGCACAGTGTCTGCCCACAGAGCCTTGGGGCTGGGCTGACATGGCTCAGCTCAGCCCTGCACCCCAGAACACCCAGCCTCACTGGAAGGAAAGGGGGGAAGTTTACTCAGACTGCAGCGGTGCAGGCTTAGAGGCCAAAAGGGATGGAAAAGTCAGGATGCCAGCTGACTTCAATGGAAAAAAGCCCTGGCTCTCCACCCTGAGCCTGGCAGGCCAGTGCAGTGGGCTCTCCACTGAGCTGG